TGGAGAGATTGGAACTCTCATACACTGCTGGTGGGACTGTAAAATGGTACAACCATTGTGGAAAGCAGTATGGCGATTTCTTCAAAAGTTGGAATTAGAAATACCATTTGATGCAGCCATTCCGTTATTAGGTATATACCCTAAAGAAGTGAGATCCAAGACAAGAACAGATATATGCACACCCATGTTCATCGCAGCATTATTTACAATAGCTAAAAGATGGAAACAACCTAGGTGTCCATCAGTTGAGGAATGGATAAGCAAACTATGGCACATACACACAATGGAATACTATGCAACACTAAAGAATAATGTAGAATCTTCAAAACACTGCATAACGTGGATGACGTTGGAGGACATTATGCTGAGTGAAATAAGTCAATCATAAAAGGACAAATATTGTATTAGTCCATTATTGTAAAAATCAAGGAAAGGTTTATCTGTGAAAGGAAATTTTCTTTGTTGGTTACCAGGGATGGGAGGGAAGGGTAGGGAACACTGTTAGACAAGTAGCGATAAGTATTGATTTGGGTGAAGAGAAGGGCAATGTACCAAATATGAGTGATCAACATGGTGGCACTGAGGAAGAGAAAGACATAGAGAGGTACATGGGAGGTACAGACAACAAAGATGAACCCTTTTGCACAGACAGTACTGCATTGTCAGTGAAGGCAAACATGGGTATATGGGTGGATAGATGGGTGGACAAGCTGAACTAGTAGGTATGTCTATGAAGTGGGGAGTATACCCAAGACCATGTATAGGGTTGGCAGACAATGGTCCTATAAGCTTATTTGAATGATTTGAATTCCCAGGTGTATAGTAGAGCTGACAAGGGGCAAGATTGTAGCCACTTCTTGGTCACAGCCAGCTACCCAGAGGGACTGAGTAGTTGAACCTGTGGGCTAGGGACCAGAGTCTCAGGGAACATCAAGCTCAATTGACACAACATACTACATAAAACGTTGTTTTACCTCCTACTTTGGCGAGTAGCGACTGTGATCTTAAAAGCTTGCAAGCTGCCATGTAGATGTAACTATGGGTCTCTCCTCGTCCAGAGCAAAGAAGAATGAGGAAAACCTAAGATTCATGGAAACAATTAGTCCTAGTGACTGGTACACCATGTGATCTGCAGCCTATATGACTATGAGACCAGAAGAACTAGATGGTGCCCAGCTACCACTGTCAACCACTCAGAGGGGGATCTATGTAGGAGATCCTGGATAGAGAGGGAGAACAATGTGGAACAAAACTCAAAATCATTTGGAGAAAAAAAAAGTGGGGGGCACCAGGTTTGCTGGTCTGATAGAGTCTGGTGGAACCCCTGAGACTATATGTCCCCTAGCTGCCCTTCAGGTCTGGAATTGAACCTACGCCTGTGGCTTCCAGCCAAACAAAAGTCAGGCAAAGGGGTTGAATATTTACCTGAGGTAGATACACTCCTTGGAGAGAACAGTTATGGGAGAACAGAAGGGCTGCTTATGCACAGGGAGACCGCTTGGGGGCGGGGCATGGAGGGATGGACACTGGGAAGAGGTGACTATTGGGAGGAAGTGGGAGGGGGAGCTGTTGCATTGTGGGAAATTGTGGTCAATGTCATGAGACAGTGTGTGTGAGCTGCTGTGTGGAAAGCGAATCTGCTCTGTCAACTTTCACCCAAATCACAATAAAAAAAAAAAAAAAAAAAAAGAGGTCTGCAATGGCTGCTTTTTCAGAAGCAGGTCTCACTGGACCTTTCTTCCAAGGTGCCTCTGGGTGCCCTTGAACCTCTGGGTGCCTTGAACCTCCATCCTGGCTGAGCAGCCGAGGGAGTCCTGGACCAAAAGCGAGCCCCTGGAGCCGCAGCGTCAAGCCGTTCCGTGGGGATGGCCGTCATCTTTACGAGATGAAATTGCCAGGCTGTCCCTCCTTGGTGCTGCTGGATGGGTGTGAACCACCAGCCTTCTGGTCAGTAGCCTTGTGCAAATGGTTTACCCCACATGGGTTGTAGAACAGAGTCACGGCCCCTGGAACACTTGTTGAATGAGCAAATGATGCCAAGGAGAAGTTGGCACTTTCCTGGCAGGTGGTGTGTGCGTGGAAGCGTGTGACCTATCTCCTCCGGGGCGATGACTGTGATTGCAGGTGGCCAGGGTGCAGGGAGAGAGGGTGCGCTCCCCTGGAGAGAGGGGGAGCCCAGCACTCTCCCTGCAGCTCCTGCTCCCTCCTTCCTTTCCCCTCCTCCCTTCCTTCCCGCTCTCCTCCCTCCCTCCCTCCTTTCACCCATTGTGTATTTGAGCATCTACTGTGGACTAGAGGTTTCCTCCGAGTGACAGGTCGGGAATGGACAGAGAGCAGAGGCCCTGAGGCCGGGCTGTGCTGCACTCAGTCAAAGCCAGCAAAGGAGGAGGGGATAGGAGAAGGGTGGAGGTGAGGACCAGGCGACCAGAGGGGCTGGGGCGGGTGGGGTGCACGTTTTATTCATTTTATTCGAGTGAGGGGTGCATTTTATTGCCGAGGCTTCCCCTGGAGAGGAACACCTCAGGGAGGGAGGGAGGGAGGATAGGCCAAGAAGGGTCAGTCAGGCCCAGGCTGCCAACACCTGGCAGCGTCTTCACCCCCACCAGCTCCTTGGCTTCCTGTCTTGGTCTGGGGGGCAGGGGACCAGGAGGGCAAAAAGGATACCCTGGTGGGGGCCGTGGGCCTGCTGACCGCACCTCCCAGGACCATGGCTCTGTCTGTTCTAGGTGGGACTCCCGAGGTCAACAGGAAGGGGCAGTACCTGACCGCACTCCCAGGGCCACCACTGCACATGACGACACTGCCCCACCCCCACCAGGACTTTCACAACAGGGAGCCCAGCCCGGGTGTTGGCTCATCGCACCCACATCCCAACTCGCCCAGCCAGGGCAGCCTGCCTTTGCCAAGTCAATACTGTCCAGGGCCGGGAACCAGCAGCGGCCTCCCTCCCCCAGCGCCTCGACGGTAAACACAGGCAGAGCGGGGCGTCACAGGCTTCCCACGCACAGTAGGACCCCGCATCCACCCAGCTGCAGGGACGGGCACAGACACGGCTTCTCCAGGGCTGGAGAAGAGCCACGTCCTCCTGAGCATACAGTGTTCTCGCCCAAGACAGCTTGAGCAGAGCCAAAAGCCCCCACACGCTTTCCGGCAGGTTCCCGGAGCCAGGCGCCAGCCGGGATATGGCATTCAACCAGCCAGCACGCTCCGGAAGGCGGACTCCCATCGGCAGCCCGGGCTCCCAGAGGAGGGTGCGCCTTGGGCAGGTCTGGGATGTGGGCAGCGGGTGGGACTGTGGACAGGTGTCTGGCTGTCCGAGAGGTTTCTGCAATCGCGTGAGGTGTGGCACTCAGAGAGGAACGGGCTCCCGGCCACTCTGGTCATCAGATTCTCAGCCACAATGGGCAGGTGGCTGCTGCGCAGGCCTGTGTGTCCCTGTGTTCTCCAGCAGGACTTCTACTGCAGGCCATGAGGACAATGACAGGGCGATGAGTCAAGGGTGACTGGGCCAGACCGCACTCACCAGGCAGTCCACGTGAGCGTCCTCGTGGGTGTTGCTGTGAGTCCCCACGCCTCCTCACTTGGGGCAGGCCTCAGCCTCAGCAGGGTTGGCCTTTGAGGGTGGGTAGGGGCCGTCCTGGACATCGGAGGGGGTTGGGCAGCGTCTTTGGTCTTCACCCAGTAGCACAGCTCACCTTCCAGGTGTGATAACCAAAAATGTCTCTACATGTCACCCAGTGTCCCCTGAGGGGCATAATTGCCCTGGTGGGCAGCTACTAACTCAGGGAAACGGATCAAATTTTTGGCTCTGAGAAGAGCAAGACGCAGACACACAGACAAGGTTCCAATCTTGTTAGGACAGCGGATGAAGGAGTGGAGGTTGGAGCTGGGAGTGGGGTGGACACTGGTTGTCAGGGGACAGTGGGAAGACAAGGAATGTGGGGAGACAGTTCTCAGAGAGTGTCCTGATGAAGTAGCACGTGTAACACCCCGTTTATGTGAAATCAAAGCACGCGTGGAGAGACTGCACAAAGGGCTCCCCAAAGCATGACGGGGTGTCTCTGCACGGTGGGATTTAGGCTTCCGTCCTGCTCCTCGGGCTGACGCAGGTTCCGCCCTCCCATTGGGCAGGGTGTGGACACTGTACTGTCCTCTGTGCCTGTCACTGGCAGAGGCTTCCCGGCTGCGGCTTCTCCAGGAGTTTGCATTTGAGTGGTTCCTCTCCAGCATGGAGGCTGTGCCAGGGCGGTGGTAGATTTCTCACCTTCCACGTGGGAGACCCGGGTTCCAGTCCCAGCCAGGGCACGTCATCTGTGGCCACCACCCGTCTGTCCATGGAGGCTTGAGTGTGGCTAGGATCCTGAACAGGTTTTAGCAAGGCGTCCAGACTAAGAGGCACTAGCAAGCGTGGTGATCACTTTCCCAAACAGCCAATGAGAACTCCATGGGACACAGAGGGCCGCTCACGCGGCTGGTGTAGGACCGTGCAGCACTGTGTCCTGCTGTGCGAGGGCTGGCCCCGAGTCAGGGCCAACTCGATGGCGGCCAACACCAGCACCCCGTCATGTACACTGCTCTCCGGGGCCCACCTCCCTCTGGGTTTTCCCTTTGCTGTGCCCATTGCTGGAAGGTACAGCCTCTCCTTCACTCCCATCTCTCCTCTCCTGTGTCCTCACCCTTCCCCCCACCTCAGGCAGCCACCCCTGGGGAGAGAGCAGCTGTGAGCCAAGCCTTGCCTTGGCAGGCCAGGCTGAATGTCAGCTCCCCTCACCCCTGTGCAGGGCACCACCTTCCTGGCCATGAGCACCACGGCGCCAATCAACCACACTGCCATGATCAAGTCAACAGCCCCACGGACTGTGGTAGCCGGAAAGGCAGGCAGAAAGGGAGGTGTCCTGGTGGGTGAGCAGGGAGCCCCTGAAGTCTCTGGCTATAAGAGGCTGCCATGTCTGTAAATTCAAACATCTAGACTGAAGCACTAAACACCCACTCTGAGGAGGCAGCCCTGAGTCAGTGAGACTTGAACCCAGCCGCAAAGCCTTCCTGGGCCTGGTTTCTGGTTGGATTGAGTGGGCAGTGCCTCTTTGCCTGTGGGCCCACTGTGCCTTCTCAGGGCCAGCTGGAGGCACATGAGGGCCTAAGCATTGATCACCATGATGCCCCTCTGCTCCATCAGTACTCAAATGGGGTATGTGACTTACAAAGATATTTGTCTATACGTGCATGTCCTAGCAACCCCTGATGGAACTTCATTATAAAGGTGACTATAACATTAACAAGGTGCTCTGGTGGCATAGTCATTAAGGCATTTGGCTGCTAACCAAAAGGTTGGTGGTTTGAACCCACCAGCCACTCTGCAGAAGAGCGATGGGGCAGTCTGCTGCCGTAAAGATTTACAGCCTTGGAAACCCAATGGGTTCACTATGAGTCAGAATCAACTCAGTGGCAGTGAGTTTGGGTAGGTATAACATTGACAATGGAACTCAAAAGTGGCTTCTGCCATTTTAGCAGAATGAGATGAACTGGGTCATAACATCTTCAGTGGACGTGGGGTACTAAGACTGTTACAAAATGGAGCTCTGTTAGCGTAGTGCCTAAGGCACTTGACTGCTAACCAGAAGGCTGGCGGTTCAAACTCACCAGCCGCTCCTCGGAAGGAAGATGGGGCAATCTACTTCTGTAGTGATACTGCCTCAGAAACCCAAGGAGGGGTCACTATGAGTCAGGTCTGACTCGACAGCACATAACAACAACAACAACAACCACCTTTTTAACAAAAAGAATATTCCACCTGTTTTATAACCAAGAAAATGAGTCAGTGAACTTAGTTGTTTCAACAGACAGTGTAAAATTCTGTTGATCCCACGATGAGAAACTGACTTTTCCCAAATTTGTGCTCATTGGCTCATACTTCAGTGTGGATGTTTGTTTGGCAATAAATGCTGTGATTAGAAATAAGTAGAAATGAGAAAATAGAACGATGTCATAAGAGAAATTTAACCATCAGAACACAGACACTATGGCCAATTCCTCTATTTCCTCTTTGATGGACTGAAACTTGGCAGCCCATCCCCCACCACACCCCTGTTTC